CATGTTAGTTTCCAGTGAGAAGGTAAAGACAGAGATCAAATTTCTCAGTTACCAATTAAATAGAAGTGTCGCGGAAACCTACACATTAATCATAGACGTCTATCTCGGAGATAGCCCGTCGCCTGGGGTGTATATTTACATTACAGAGGATATGGTGATAAATTGGGAAGACAGGTGTAATAACCAACGTTGTCGTATTACTAAGGTATCGGGAAACGACCCTTTAGCAAGCCTTGATGGAGTTCGTCTCTTTAATGGCCTTCATTTTAAGACCCTGCTTTTTTACACGCACATTAATCTAAGCATTATCAGCTTTAAGTACATTAATCTAAGGTTAAATGAAACCCAATTAAAATATCTTTCGTAATATATATTATAGGATGGGGCTGTACCCAGTCGTAGAGGAAGTAGCGAAGACCCTGGAAACCGTAGACGGGTTCCGCTTGAGGCAGTTATGTGATGTAAAACGTCAACTAGAACAAGACCGCGACACGCGGACAGCACTATATAAGAAGTACCATAGAGCTTTCAATGCGTGGACGGGACTGATACTGCCCTTATGGCAACCAGCATGGGGCTAGGGGCGGCAGGTGTTGGGTTGTTAGCTACCATCGTGGCTGCACCTATAGTGCTAGGCATTGAAATAACAGCTGGGGTGACAGGGGTGTTAGGGTTGGTGCTTAAGTTTGCATCCCGCAGACTGCATCGTAAGGCGTTGAAACACACGACGAGATCAGGGTTCTGGCCGAAGCAAAGCTGAACATGAGAAGTGAGCGTATTTCCACGGCACTCACTGACAGTAAGATCTCGGAGGAGGAGTTTCGTTCAATCCTCTCTGAACTCACAAAATATGACAAAATGAAACAAGAGATTCGGTCCAAGTCTCGTAAGTCTTCTATCAGCGAGGACGAGAAAAAAAAGTACATAGAACAGGGGATACAAAAAGCCCGGCAAGACTTTATTACGAACACCAAAGAGATCATAGGCGATTCACATTAAACTGTTTCATCGATGTCAACGTGACATAGTGCCACGTGTGGGCGGGAAATCAACGGGGGCTCAAAAGTAGTAGATACAATGGTAGCAAGAGCTAAGGGTCCGACCAAAGCCTTATTTGGGAAATAAGGCTTTGCAGAGGCTTTTGTTGGACTTGGTCCCGGACAGTCATTGTATCTACTACTATGCTAATTAACATTACTATAAAAAAGCCCGATGTAAGGCGCCTAAAGGGAAGTAGAATACGAAACTAAATGCCGTGAGAGAAGCTAAATTCAAGGAAGTACTAAGGAAATTAGCGGATTGTAGTGGGGAAATAGTGCAGCAATTATTGAAGTTATGTAAACTTACGTAGAAAAATATAGTACAATAGGAAGTGCAATAGTACGCTATGGTATAACAATGTTGATGTAGTTATGCCTAGAAAATAAATGAATAACATACGTACGACTTGTTTCTGCACAAACAAAAACATTAATATTTACATTTTGCGCGGAAACAACACAAGCAAGAATGAATTATATTTATTATAAATGAGATTTATTATACATGAATATATATATACTCACAGAATAATTTGGCACATAATTGGGAGCTGGCTCGGTTGCTACTTACTAAATATTTTATAAGATTGGTTGCAGGGGCGACAACCCGAGATGGAAGCAATGGCAGGGGCCGAGCTGACCTGACAAAAGCGTAATGTGCAGAGGCAGTAGCCAACCTGCACGGGGTGAAAATGGAAGAATTTGATTTATAAGAACTGAGGGATATATTATGAATTAAACTGGCCCAAACGAGGTAGCAACCTAGAGCACCCAATGATTAATGCTTATACGTTTTTCTGGGAAACCGATAAAGCTGAACAATTTAGAGAGAACCTATGGTCTGATCATGTTGATAATCATTACTTGATAAATCAGTTGATTACGCATTCACAAAAATATCATGACAGCATTAAATATCTCACTAATGCTCCCAGTGTATTATTACTTGATAAATCAGTTGATTACTGATGACGCCATTAATTATATCACTAATGCTCACATTTTAGCTGCGGAAAATATGAAAAGACAAGATTGGCACATCAAAGAAATGTCAACAAATGGTATGATATGGCATGTGAGAAAGTTGTAACTAAACGATGTAAGTTATTAAATAAGTTTAGAAAATCGGAATATAAGAGGTCATTTGAAGAACATTGTCAGATAAGAAATGAATATAATGCAGTGTGTAAGCAAAAGCGACTTGGCTACTATAAAGAAAAGCGGTTAGACATAGAAAATAGCATATGGCACTCAAAAAGGTTTTAGTTTGAACTGAAAACTTTGAACAATTCTACCGTAGCAAAAAAATACCCAAACAATATTTGTACGAATGAGTGGCATCGACATTTTCGAAATCTTTTCAACTTCGAAACTGAGAATAACACTTTGTCAACATCTCCTGACAAAACATATGGTGGATTGTCCTATTATTAGGGAATAGATTTTGGACAGCATTAAATGCTTAAAACCCACTAGAATTATTATTCAATATAATATTTGAAAATGGTACTTTTCCAACTAGTTGGACAATCAGGATTTTTGTCCCGGTCCATAAGCTAGACAGTCTCGATAATCCAAATAATAACAGAGGCATTAGTCTTTTGAGTATTTCTAGGAAGGTTTTCACTTCTATTATTAACACAATATTAGTAATTTGGAGAGAGGCACTGAATAAAATACATGAATCTCAGGCTGGATTTAGACATGGATATACGACTAATGACATTATGTTTATATTACAAAGTATTATACAGAGATACCTAAACAGCAAAGTCGGTAAGCTCTATGCTCTTTTCGTTGATTTTGAAAAAAGCATATGATTCAGTGGACAGACAAAAGCTATGGCCTATTTTAATACCCATGCTCCAAGTACGAAAACGAAAATAAGATGATTCATAATATCTATGAAAATGTTAACGTTTGTGTTAAGAAAAACAATGAGTTCTCAGATTCTTTTGAACTACAACTCGGGGTAAGACAAGGCTGTATATTTAGCCCATTTTAATTCTATTTTTCATAAACGAATTAGCAACCCAAATTGAGAACACTTGTGATTATGGAATACAGTTACACCCTGACTTAGTACATATTTTTCTTCTGTTTTGCGGACGATATCGTGCTATTCTCAAGCACTGTTGGAGGTTTACAAAGAACTTGAGATTTATTGTGACAAATACAAATTAACTGTAAATAGAATGAAAACTAAAGTAGTAGTTTTTTTAAAAAGGGGGACGTTTGTTAAAAAAGAGAAATGGTTGTATAAAGGTAATGAATTAGAATGCACCATTTCGTATAAATATTTGGAAATGTTTTTCAGTAATTGTTTATCTTGGACAACACATCTGAATTACGCTTGCTTGCAAGCACAAAAGGTCCTGATTGGTATCTTTAAACAATCAAATGTACTTGGAGACATAAATTTAAGTTCAGACTTTAAAATATTTGATGCAAAAAGTAAGCCAATTTTATTGTATGGGGCTGAAATCTGGGGTTTGAATTATTACAATGATATCTAAAGAGTTCAATTGAAAGCAAGCCATGTAAAATATTCCCTGGTGTTAAACCCAATACAAGGAATATAATGGTGTATAGAGAATGTGATAGATATCCGATGCACTTATTTATTTACCAGAGCTATAAAATACATGTTAAATGTATTGAGATGCCTTCTTATAGGCTACCAAAGAAATGTTACAATATGATGTTATTCGATAGAAATGGACACACAAATTGGGTTTCTTCTGTAAATGTTTGTATTATAAGATGTTTAAATTTACTTTTGACGCAGATATTTATCTTTCATGTGTAAACGTAAAGCTGTTTAGGAGAGCGTTAAGTAGACTGATGTATTCTTCACATGATTTTAATTATGGCAAGTGGAAGACTTAAAACTGTCAAAAACGAAAATAAAATTTTGCAAACTTTGTGATCTTAACCAAATAGAAGATGAATATCATTTTCTTTTAATGTGCCCTGCTTATAATTCCCTGAGAAAGGTGAATATTAAGAAATATTATTTTGTCAATCTACACCTTTATAAATTCTCAGCATTTTTAAATAATAAAAACCATAAAATACTTCGAAACTTGTCCATGTTTACTTACTATACCATGTTGTTTAGAGCAGAATATATCTCAGAACACAATGTAAGCTACCCTTGATTATCTTCTCTTCTTCATGTGCATTACATGTGCGTGTAAATACTGTTTGCAAATGTATTGTACTACAGGCCTGTGGCCTTTCAGTACCGGAAATAAAGACTTGGTACTCCACATGTCAGTAGATAATTTTCTGACTATCTGATTATTCCGTGTTCGTTAAGTCTGATATGTCAAAAGTGAGAGTTGATTATTCATGTATACTAACGGAAAAAGTAATTGCATAACATATTGCATAAAATAAAGGTTACTTGAATGGTTATGAATATAACCCTAAATAAACATGTAGTAAAGCACTCTGCATGAAATTTGATGTCACGTATCACGCGTGGCACGTGCACTTTGCGCACAATGAACATACTCACTTTTTGCATGTGCTTTGAAGTTCACACATATGATATTGAAGAACGGTTGATTATTCTCTAGCCTCTGTTTTTATGGGAAACACGTAATGTCAACCTAAACAGCCCGTACGTCATGTCACGGCTTACAGAAAATCAGAGTCTCCGCGCCGTGGGTATAATGGAGACTGGAATGGCCCAAAATGGAGTGGCCAGACATTTTGGTGTCCAGCGAAATACGATTTCATCTCTAGAGACGTTTTCAACATAATAAGACAAGAGAATTGTCTCGAACCGGGACTCTAATGCTTGTGTTGTACCACTATAATGCTTGTGCTGTACCAATATACTGTGCTGTACCACTCTACTGCTTGTACCGTACCATTCTACTGCTTGTACCGTACCATTCTACTGCTTCTGCTGTTTCAAGATACTGTTATTTAATGTTAGATGCTACTTACATTTATATAAAGCTTTGCCCACCAAACCAATGAGCGAGGAAATGAGCACCAAGATGGCAACACCTGGAACCATATAAACTGAGTTCTAAATATTTAATTATAAATGATTGAATAGAGACCATATTATGTACAAACCTTTTTGCAAGAAAAAATAGAACAGAAAAATGATAAACATTCTCATCACACTTAGATAATATCATATAAATATCATAATCTATAATTGTATCACTTCAAAGAAAATGATTAAATGTTCATTACAACACAATAAACTACTATGGTCGTAAACTCCAGTAGGTTTCCATTAACAGATGACGCAACAAACCTTGTTTAGACAGACAACCTCTTTGTAATTCTGTGTACAGAACGAGCCACACTCAAAGACAAGTCTACTCACTTTTCAACTTCTTCACAATCTTCATTTCCAACTTTTAGAGTCTTCACGGAACAGCCTTGTAGGTGCCTGTAAGAAAAGTGGCTAAATTAACGAGCCAAATATCCATCTCAGGTGTGTACATATTATTCTTCACTGGAAAGCTTATTACTTGCATATAGACCCTGACGTAGTGACTAAGGTCACGTGACCTTCACCACCCACCCTGTCCAAAAACATACTATTAGGACTACCAATTTCTCTTTGAATATATAAATCCTTCAAAGTTTTTGTCAAGATTGTATCACCAGTGGTGTTATAGACATAGCTTGAACTGTCGTTATGAAATTAAATGACCATAAAGCAATGACAAACACCTTGAATAATAGTTTTGTGAAAACTAGCTTTTCTGGAAATTCAAAAATCAATTTTCAGATAACAACGTGAGATGACTTAATATTGCTGTGCCTATAGAAAGACAATAGAAAATGAAGTAATCTATCAAATTTCATTACTTCAGGGCCAATCAATTCAAATTTTGCAATGAAGAAGAGGTCTTAGGATTGAAGTCTTTGGAGAAGTGTCATGATTTTACGTCTGATATAACAGTGACAAGTCTTTAAAATCTGACCTAAACTGCTTGACAAGCTAAGTTAATGCAAATAACTGTTGATCCATGATATGAATTGAAGTGAATTGCCTTGAATGTCGTTGACCAAGCTTTGTGGTCATGCCTGGACATATTTTTCATTCTTCCGAAGAAAGTTTCCCTTTCAGATGGTTTGTGTTCCTCCACAGGGGTAGCTGCCTTTTCCATTAAGTGTACGAATATCAAAATTTGTATTGCTGTTCTATGAGTCGACCTGTGAAGATCCAGGTTAGAATTTGATCTTCAGTAACCCATGCTTGTTGTTAGAGGCGACTACCGGGATCGGGGGACACCAGAAATGGGCTTCACACATTGTACCCATGAGGGGAATCGAACCCGGTTCTTCGGCGGCTGCACACTGACGTATCAACACCGAGCTCTGCATGTCTTAACGCATAAGTGTTGTCTGGAGCCATATATTGAACATTGCGAACACTATCTGATGCCTGCACAAAAACTGTCAACACCCACAGACAAATATGTAAACATACCGAGCCGACTAGCTCTCACACCCAAACACCGAAACCTGTCCTAGACAGTTTAAATCTTCTCACAGAACACAATATGACATCACAGATACCTTCCCCTGGTACCTACATGCAGACTTCAATTCCACCCCAGATGAACTGGGGACCCCAGTGTTCATCACAGTTATTCCCAACCCCAGGAGTTATACACGGAGCTACCCCCATGACTCAGCCCCAGGTTCACTCCCAGTACCTACAAACCCACCAACCCTCGCAGTATCAGGACATGATGGATAAAATGAATGTTATGATCCATAAACTGTATAAGCTCGACGCTGTTGAAAGTGCAGTTAGTGACATCAATTAAAAAATGAATCAACTTAGCTGTAGACTTGACAAGACTGATGAGACAATAAAATCACTGCAGGAAAGTGTACAGTTCATCAGTCTAAGTAAACTTAGGCTCAGTATTATTCCTTACACTGCTATACTGAGTCTAACAAAACCTAGTAGAAGGTCGAACGGTTTTAACCAATCAGACAACGACTACTTGTTAGGGTTCGGCGGGACTTACAAAACGGTTTTTGAATTTTCTCTTCCCTGGTCGCTGACACTGATCTATCAACAAACGAAAATCCGCATAAAACACAAATATTTGACCTGCAGTATATACACTTATGGGTTTCTAATGACATGGTTACTATTTGCTTATATGTTCGCAAGATGACATCCTTGAATATTGACAAAAACGCTTTTGTTTACTCATTGCGTGTATCACTCGGAAGCGATAGTGCGGAAAATAGCATTCGGAATCGTTCGAGTTTTTTAGGTAAAGGTTCAAACGGTATGTGCGAATGTTAACTTCCGCGATTTGGTAAGCTGTGTTCTGACTGGTCAGTCCAAAATGTTAGCTGACGCGACCTTCTACTAGGTTTTGATAGACTCAGTATAGCAGTGTAACGAATAGTACTGAGCCTAAGTTTACTTAGACTGATAGTTCATGAGCATTAGATATGATGAAGTTATTGAACTACAGAAGAGTATTCGTTCAGCTACTGAGTCAATGAATAAACAACATACAAATGATGTAAATTGCTTGAAAGATCAGAAAAGACATTGAGTGTATAGACAATTTATCTAGTGATCTACATCAGGTTCGCGAGGATATGCTAGATCTCCAGTGGAGAGAAATGAGGAACAACCTTACATTCAGTGGGACCAGCAAGGAAAATGTTGAGGATCAATTGTTAACGTTTAATAAAGAAAATCTGAAAACTGAAGAGAAAATATCCCTGGATAGAGTGCACCGTCTCGGGTCTGACCTGTTGTCCAGGACGCGCCCATTATAGCGCGCTTCACGCACTTCAGGCAACGGGAGCTCGTGAAGAAATCTGCGCCACTCAACTGAGGGGTACCAGCATTGGAGTGAATGAAAAACTACCGAGGGAAATGAATGAGTGAAGGAAGAAGTTAGTCCCTCTCTTTAGACAAGCAAAGAGTAGGGGTGAAAATGCCAGACTGGTAAGAGACAAACTGTTCATCAACAATGAAAGGGTGTACGCGGATGATCATGGTACTGTCAATCACTCCCATGTTTAGGTGAGTCGACGAGGTCATCTCCATCCCGAGGACCCTCACTATATCACTGGAAAAAAATCCACATTTACAAGCTTGGAAATGTCTTGGAAAGATGATGTTTCCAAGACATTTCCAATTTTGGAAAGATGATGTTTCCAAGACATTTCCAATTTTGGAAAGATGATGTTTCCAAGACATTTCCAATTTTGGAAAGATGATGTTTCCAAAAATTTCTAATTTTGGAAATGTGAGATTTCCAAGTTTGGAAATATCCGCAAGGGGAGATAACTGGTGGGTGATGGTAAATTATTGTTCTGCATGGGCTAATTGCTATAGTGGCATGGGGGCGGCATGAGTGTTTCATGGGGGGCGTTATGGCGACTGGCGGTAGTCTTTGATGTTTGGTGTTGTTTTAGTAATGAGTGTTTAAGGGATTAACGAAAGGATTATCGACTTGACTAGTCGAAATTGCAGTGGTGAACACATTTTAAATGTTCAATGTTTTGGGTGAAAAGTGAATTTTGTCACGTTTAGTTTAAGTATGTGTCATCGTAAGCATATATCTAGTGAGTGAGAGTTAATTTCGTACAAGGGCCACCGACCCGTTATACAATTATAAAGATGACAATACAATCCAGTGCCATATATAATACTGAGCTGTATGCTAACATGTACAATGTCTCATTTAATCTTATACTCTATATTCAAAAACTTCGCTCTTATTGTCAATGCAAGAAATATAAACTTAGCAAGATTGTTAACAGTTGTAGAATTGCAAGACAATAACAAGTTGATAAATTTAGTTTCACATGGATTATTTATGTAGTATTGTGGGAGCAGGCTGTTTCTCAGATCACAGTAAAATTAACATTCAATAAAGAATTGGTACTCTGATTCAATGGTAAGTACAACACACAGAGGGCAGAATCGCTCATGTTGTTTTATATTTACTTTTCGCCCATATTCCAACATTAAAGGATGGTCTGAACAACCAAACTTACTCAAAGCAAAACGAATCGTTGCGTTGCCCTCCTAGGGGGTCGAGTGATGGTGTCACCATGCACTAATTTCCACTGGACCCCGTAGTTCGTGCTAACTGGGTTATGTTTGTGAGTGCGAAGCGAGCGTTGTGGAAGCTTGGAACGATATCTTAAATGTGTTCAGATCGCTTCGCGGAAGTTAAAGAATCAAAACTACTTACTAGTTGTAGTACAATAAATATATGATTGATGACCAAAAAGATTTTCCATGACACAACTTGAAGCATAACGATTTCTTTCTCGGAAGCGAGGTTGTGGTGGAAGTGACAATAATATTGTAAGTAGTGTTATATTGACACCCACCTCGCCTCCACGAGAGAAATTGTTATGTTATAAGCTATGTCATGCAAAATCATATTGGCCATCAATCAAATACATAATTTGAACTCGAGGACCTACATGACTCCGTGTCTACAGAATGTAATTCTACACTTGTGGATTATAATATTCATGGATTACGATATGGATGGACTTATTGCCTGAGGTAAATACAACTTTTCCCTCTATACGTGAGCTTACCATGGCCGACATGAACTCTTCACAGTATTATCAAACACAGAACCCTGATCCATTGGATTATAATATTTTGAATGAACTTAATGACATTATAGGTGTTAATGACAGGAAAACGTGTGAACAAAAGCTGGTCGATTCATATGTCGATGATGATGAAGGTTTGAACCATATCAGACAAGCTATATATGATATTGCTAAAACTGAGTGTCGGGATTTTCCGGAGGGAACTCTTGTGAAGAGGGTGAAAAGAAATGGCCAGTCAAAGTCAATTGCAGAAAAGTATGCATCTGACGTGTATCTACTGTATAAGTTCTACAAGGGAGCTATACAGTCACATGTTATACAGACTGAAGTTCTGAGCAGGGCTAAGTCGGTCCAGCCCAAAGTTCAACATGAATTAAGTGATATGGATAAAGATATTGCCTCGCAAATGCTATCTAAGATGATGTGTATTCATGAAGATATGATAAAGAAGTTTGAGTCTGTATGTAAACAATTAGAAACCTTTGAGGAAAAATATGATAGAGACATGATGCAGCTGATTGAAGCCTATGATAGAAAATCTGACGAGGTCAAGTGTTGTAAAGAAGAGATAACTTCTCTTTGCCATAGTGAAAAAACTCTCAAGTCAGAAGCTGTGAAATTACGCAATCAGATAAAGCAGAAAGACTTAGAACTGAAAGACACAAAAGATAGCCTAAATTCAAAGCTCAACTCCATTGAAAAGTGCGTACGAGCAGTTGAGGGCAAAATGGATTGCGTAAGTACAAGGCACAAGCTACTGTATTCAGAGGCCCTCAAGGATACAAGCACTGATGTAACCACGCCAAGCAAGACGA